GCAAGTAGAGTAGTTGTAATTGGTGCCTTCGATTCTCAAATTCATCATTTAGCTATAATAATTCCAACATACCTTGTAGTGTAAAGAGCACTGAGATTTTTTTTGGCATTTTGTACAATATGCCATGTGCACAGAGCATGGTATGTCGTTGGCATTGTCTCTCTTAGTGCTGGAGCCATAGCCAAATCTTGATCCGTAAAAATAGTTTTAAGTGCTTGTCCACCCATACACTTTGGAAGGTATTGAAAATCCATTTGAATGAATCTTGTATTTCCTCGTACAGCAACGCTGCCCCAAATATAGATGTTTGGCGATGGTTATTAAATCCCACGAAAACATCGGATGGTGAAATATTGTTTGGATCAGATATATACATAAGACGCTGTGTGAGATGTATAAAGATGCTGACAAACAGTATTCACAATGCTGACTAATTGATGATAAAATGCTGGTTAATTGAGATGAAATGTTGACTATGTTTACCTAGTGGTCTGTGGTTCTTATTTGTTAGGTATATGGTCTCAAACGTAATAGAATCCCCAAACAATGTGTAGTCTTTCCTCATTTTTGCATTTGACCAGAATATATTAGCAATCTTGTCTTCATAATCGACTTGAATTTTATAAAAGAATAAGGGTTTATCCACTGATCTTTTGTTGGTCAGTTAATTGTAGAACATCAAAGATTAGTTCTAACCTTCGTTCCAATTGCAAAAATACTTCAGGGTCGGATTTTCCTTGGAACGGTGGCACTTGAAACTTGATCGAGTTGATAGCCTCATCTCCATCCCGTCGGTGATAGTTATTATGATGCCTACGTCGTTCCCAATTTCCTTCAAACTCCTCATCATCGGGTTCGTCAAAGTTGTGTGGGGGTGGGGGCCGGATGTTGCGTCTTGGCCTCAAATGCGGTTGAACATCATTTCGCCTCTGAGCTTTCGGTAACGGTCGGATATTCTCCTGTAACTTTTGTTGATTCTCTTCCAGTTGATCCATCCTATTATTCATCAATTCCAATCGAGAATAGTGAAGAGTTTTGAACTCTTGTAGAATGGTATTGAGAAGACCTTGTACATCAATTTGTTGAGAATTGGATTTTTCTTCACCCGTTGCCATTAGAAAGAGAAGAAAGAAAAAAAAAAGAAATAACCTCACTAGAACTCTCGTGTATCACTCCACACCTTATGTACCTCTCCATCTCACAAAAAGGACTCAAATCAAATCGATGGAATTCTCCCAAAGACGATAGCCAAAAAATCTAAAACAGTAGGGAAACCAAAAGAAATATAAGTTCAGAATGAAGGTAGAAGACAAAATATCTAAATAGATTTTTTTTTTGTTTTTTTGATAAAAGAAAAGATGATTCGAGAACTAGAAGTAAATAAGAAATATATTTATATTTGATAATAACTTTTTTTTTGCCTCTTTTTTTCGTTTTTTTTTTGCTCTTTTTTTTCGACTTTCTTTTTTGCTTTTTTTTTTCAAATAAGAACCGTGATATCAATCAAGAGATTGTATCAACCTGGCTCTGATACCAGATGACACGGCCCGGCCGCGTATAATTATAACTAACATAATTTTCTTACCCACAAAGTTCAATAGAACAAATGGATTAAGAATATGTATAAAAGAAAAGAGAAGGAAGAAGAAAGATAGTGCAGAGAATGTGAATTAGTATAAATGATAACCAACCACGAGAATAAGTCTCGGACCTAAAATCAATCCATAGGTAAAACACAAACAATAGGCTAAATCCCACTGCAAAGGATTGAAAGCCACGAACCGGTGGAATCACTCCAAAGTCCCGATTTGAGATTTTAAATGCGAGGAAATCACTCCCTAACACTAGAAAATTATAAAAGTGAAATTCGATTCAAGATGTAAAAAAGGTCCTCATTACAATGATAGGCAAGGACCTTATATAGAGGTCCTTGAGGAAAATAAAAGGCAACAAATAATAAAGGAAACAAACCAAAAAGTAAGTCTAACTATAAAGAAATAAATAATTAGGGAAGTTCTAGATATGGAATTATACTATATGGAAACTTATAATAAAAGAAAATATATATTAAGGTACTTTTAGAAGTCTCCATAATAAGTGATGATTCCCTTGATATACTTCCACGATTAGTGATTCTCTCCATAAGTGATGATTCCCTTTATATACTTCCATGATTAGTGATTCTCTCCATAAGTGATGATTCCCTTGATAATCTTCCAAGATTAGCGATTCTCTTGATCTTTCAATTGGGATTCTTGGGGGTCCCATTGAAGGCGCGTCAGGTGAGGGCTAAGTGGTCTCCAAGCATCATCCAAAAATTGATTCTCCATGAAAAATCGTCTGATCAATGTAGTGACGGATTTTTTAAACTGACGAGCTCGGCTTCGAGTGATGGGTCCCACGGGCATTTGGATGCTTAAAGATTTGACGTCCTCGTCACCATTGCTTGCTGAACGATTGAATGTGTTTGGAATAATGGATAATTGATTCTGCTCACCTTCGTCGATATCAGTCACTGAAGAATGAAGGAGAGTGAAGAATGAAGGATGACGTTTCTCCCCCACCGATTGTTGCGTGAAAGAACAAATGATGATGAGGTTTGATGTAGTTACATAAATTAGGGTTATTAAAATTACAATTACACTCTTAATCTAATATTAGCCATTGGATTAAAAATGACTAATATGCAATCAGCATAATGCTGATTCTTAATTTTCAGCATGCAATCCCACCCGATATCTTAGGGACATAAGGAGTATTTTATATTGAATTATTAAATTTTTGTTAATATATAAAATATATAATTATATTAATGTATGTAGATTTTACTTTTTAATAATATATAGGAAGAATTGTTCAACTTACTAAGTCATCAAATTCAGGATTTTCTATGAAATTAAATTAATTTATTGTATAATATCACATCCCTTTATTATTTAAGTAGAAAATACAAATACAAAACAATAATCATACAAAACACATGCTATCTTGGATTTGTTCACTTTGTGATTTATTTTGTTTTTTGTTTTTTTTTTTTTTTTTTTTTTTTTGTTTTAACGATTATTCAAAAATATTATTTTTAAAAAATATAATATATAAATATTAACACAATATATCTAATGCATATTTTATTTATTTACAAAAAAATCAATAATTTAATATAAAATATTATTTTTTATATCATCGATATAATTATTTGTAATGAGCATAAAAAAAAATGCATCAATTCCAAAAACATAAAGTGAAGAAACCCTTATTCCCCATCAATTTGTTAACACTATTTTCACAATTTAAATGACGTCTATAGATCTATTCTATCTCACTAATATCTTACTTTAATATTCGATTTGCAAATTAAATAATTAATCGTACATTTAGTTCCACGTTCATCGAAGTAATCTGACACACAACATCTTAATTAAGAGGACTATTACCACAAAAATCATAAATTTATTCTCCTACACATCCTCAATATGTACATAAAAAATATCTACATATACACATATAAAAAATAATCAATGAGAAATTACTTCTGACTGGTTAACTATTATAGTAATTTTGTGTCAGGAATAAATTATTATCGTCTTCCAAAGTCAACTTACGTAATTGCAAACAAACAAATTACTTGGTATTTCGAATACCATGATGTGTTCCTCAAATATAATTTTCTTTCACACTTTTTAATTAATATTATGAAAAACATAATATATATAATATATTTATACTCTACACACTGATAAAAAGAAATAAAAATTTATTATAAAATAATATTTTTTATATTAACAAGATATTTTTTATTATATCTACCATAAACTAAAAATACCTAACAAACTTTACATCTAAAATTATTCAGAAATCAAAAACATTAATTAGTTCTCTTTTCGCTCAAAAATATTCTTTCAGAATATAAATTCTAAATAAACAAAATATGTTTAAAACATACTCTAAATTAATTACAACCAAATACTAGAGCATGGATGTTAAAAAATAAAATATTTTATGCTAGTAATATTGCCTCTTATTTGTAGCAGTGATGTTATAAGTTTTCAATTTCTTTCCTTTTTTTTTTCTTTTTTTTTTTTTTTTTTGAATTTTTCAAGTGCATTCTTTAATAATTTTTTATTGTGACTACAAGTTTAAGTTATTGAATAATTATTCAGTATTTTTTTTCTTTCGAGTATTTTTCTATTTAAAACTTAAATATTTATCACATTTGAGACATAGAAAAGATCCATTCACTTTTTATATATTCTTCTTGAATAATTATTTTTTCACAGTATTTGCATATGATTTAGTAATTCTGTTGGAGTTATTAAATAGATTCGGTAATAAATTTATGTAAACGATATATTGTTAGTTAATTCTAATCTCAAAATAATAGGTCACACATATAAGTGCTTAAGTGATCAATTAGATATTAAAAGTTAAAAGTAATTTTGGATATGCATATAGAAAGGGTTCGAGATAGGAGTTCCACTTCACTGTTTTTGAATCAAGTCATCTTATATTGAGAGTGTGATCAAGCATTTTTAACATGAAAGATATTAAAGTTGTAAGTGTATTATTAACAACATATTTTTCTTTTAATTTTTTTAAAAAGGTAAAAGTCAATCATCTAAATATGAAAATTGTGTTTTATTTTAATGAAATATATTATGATATGTACTTAATGGTAATTACTATGTCTGATATTTTTTATGTTATGAGTTTGTTAATTAATTCTTGTTTCAATATGTATTTATATTATGGTTGAGTATAGGCGTCGCTATAATGATTTTTTTTTTTTTTAAATTTCGACCAAAAAAGTGAAAAAATACTGTTTTGGCCGACCTGTTGAATTTTGGCCAAGATTCGACCGGTCTGGCGATGAGCCGGCACGCGGCTCAATTTCCCCCAATCAGATCCCAGCCGTCTATCCTAGGGTTCTAATCCTATCCGTCTGTTGCATTGATATATATTGATGCCCCTCTCATTTGCAGCGCAGCTACATATATTCTTTCTCTCTCAAGAGAGTTTTCTGTTGCAATCGTTCTTCCTCTTCTTATGGTGCATCTCCGATGTATATTTTCCGGCGATATTCACTGCGATTTGATTAGGCCTTTGTTCTGTGGGATATTGGGGAGTGTTTGGTGAGGTTTATACGGTCCGATTCATCCAAATCATGTTGTTTTATTTCAAGGGTTTGAGTTTCTTCTTTTTGGGTAGGAGATAGGCTCGTCGAGTGTCCGTAGGCCGTCGCTGGAACAGCTCTTTCTTTCTATCGGTTTTTTTGTTCGATAAAGTTAACCGATTTTAAATATAAGGCACATTAATGTATTCTTTGTGTTCCATTTGTGTTACGTTTTTTTTGTGTTATTTAATAACGTTCCTTTTGTTCTTTTAAACTTGTTTTCAATTTAGTATTTTTTATCTTAAAACTAATAGTGGTACCAAAGCTATTATGTTTTTTTTGTTAAAGTCGAAAACGCAAGTTTTTGGGTGTTCCTTCGTTGTTCTTCAAAAGAGTTGACGTGCTTTGATATTTCTAAATCATAACTTGAAAGATTTTTTCTTCAACGAAAATTATTGTTTTTGAATTCGGCTCAGATTATAATTTTGTTCTATTTTTGTTTAAGCAGTGAACATTTTTTTTTTTAAAATTCTATAGCAAACATATTTTTCTTATTAAACTTGCTATACATTAGTTCTGTCCAGTTCTTAATAGGGTTTAGTATTTGTTGCGAATAGATTTTTGTTTAAATAATCTGTTATGTTTTTTTTTTTTTTTTGGTTGTGTTGGGGAATTTTTTTTAATCTGATTTTTTTAATGACGTTTGCTTTCTCATCGTTCAGTGTTTTCTCATTGCGCGGAGGATGTTGTATTTTCTGGCGCATCATTATGGATGATCATATGTATTTGGAAAGCCAGACTCGAATGAAATATTACAAAAAAATGGTTAGTGCAAGAAAATTCAAGGAATGAGACATGTTATGGAAGACTATCTTACCGACCTACAAGAAGACGGAACCTTTGGACATTTTTGTTAAAAGCCGATACTTATTTGGTGTGTCCTCTTTTGAGAAACATTTTTTCTTTTATTTATTTATTTTCTTTTGTGAAGTGTGTTTTACAAAGCGAATGAATTTTTTGAAAAAAAGGAACTAATATTTGTTCTTTGTATTAAACTAACATTTGTTGTGATTTTTTCAGAGTATGGCTTAGACAAGCCTCAAAGAATCGGCACTGCATGTGAATTCATTGGTAGTTCACAAAAGGTTTTTCATAGTTTTGAAAAACTTATTGGTAAAAGGCTTAACCCTTCCCTTTTATGTGATATATGTGTCTTTTATGTGAATTTGAAACTCAGTGTAGTTTAGTCATGCTGATTGCAGTTTTAGGAATCTTGATTGTGTGATATTTGATTCATGTGATTTACTTCACTGCAATAGTGGGTTGCTGACTGTAGTGATAGGTTGATTGCTGTGTGAATATCCCTATTTGTGACTTGTCTGTGGTGGTTTTAAATTGTTTTGGAGAAAATAGTTGGTCTTGTATTTTTTGGGCAGTGATTATTGTGTGTGATATTGCTTGTTCGTTTTTTGTTGCTTGCCGTGTTAATTGTTCTTGGGTGTTAGAACTTTGAAAAATTGCCTATTTGTATTTATTTTGTATTTTTTCCAAATCTAAATATTTTTTAAATAAAATATGTCTTTTCAAAATGTCTCAAAATCATCTTTTAAGTTTGATTTACTTTGATGGAAAAACATAATTTTTTATATAAAAACATAAAATGAAAGATTTTTTTATTACTCAAAAAGTTTTTAAGGCAATTGATGGAAATTATGTTGCAATTGTTTCTGATGAACGCAAAGCAGAAATAGATGAGTAAGCATATTCCTTTATAATCATGAATCTTGTTAATTATGTGATTAGAAAAGTTGGAATAATGAAAACTGCAAAAGATTTGTGGGAAAGATTAGATCAATTATATAATAAAACTTCTTTGCTAAGTAAATTGTATTTGTTGGAAAGATTTTTTAGTTTTAAACTTGATTTGAAAAAGAGCATTGATGAAAATTTAGACATCTTTCAGAAATTAATACAAGATATAAAGTTGAGTGGGGATATTACTATTGATATCTACAGTCCTACTGTCTTGTTAAATTCTATACCTAATCTTTATTCAGACGTAAAATCTGCTATTAGATATAGTAGAGACAATATAATTTTGGATGTTGTTATGAATGGTTTAAAAAGTAAAGAATTGGATTTAGCTATTAATAAAAGTCATAAGTCTTCATCCGGTGAAGTCATGTATACTAGAAATAGATCTCCTCGTATAAAAAGACAATGCAAATCAAAAGGGTAATAATAAGAATTCCCAAAACAATTATAATAATAAAGGAAAAAGAATTATAAGGGTAAGTCTAAGTCTAGAAACCCTGAAAGAAAGTGTTTTGGTTGTGGAGAAGTTGGACATTATGTGAAATAATGTACTAAAATAGTTGGGTCTAGTAACAAACAACAATCTAATGAGTATGTTAATTACACATTTGACTTTCAGAACTTTGGTGAGATGTATATGGTGAAATCTAATTATTGTAATGTGAATTCGGTGTGTATGAATGAGTGGTTAATTGATTCAGCTTGTACTTATTACATGAAACCCTTAAGAAAAGTTTTTTCAATCTAAATAAATTTGTAGAGTTGAAGGTGTTGGCACTGTTCGTCTTAAATTTGAAACCGGTTTTGTGTTAGTTTTAAATAATGTGAGACATGTGCCCGATTGGTACAATAATTTGTTGTCTTATGTGGGTTTAGAGGATATAGAGCTAAAAGGTAAATGAAGAAATTGTTTTATAAAATTTTTTAAAAGGCTCTTTAGTTGTTTTTAAAGCTGAAAGAAACAATAACTTGTATGTCACTAAAGTGGAGCCTGTTTTAAATTCTGATTTTTCAAATAAAGTGTGTGATCTGAATTATGGCATAAAAGACTTTGGCATATACGTGCTAAAGGTTTAGAAATTTTACACAAAAATGATTATTTTGGAAAAGACAAAATCTCTTTTTTTACCTTTTTTGTGATGAATGTGTGTATGGAAAACAACATAGAGTCCAATTTCTTAATGGTTCAACTCCAAAATTGATTAAATCATCTCATATATTGGAATATATACATGTTGATATGTGGGGCCCTTCTAGTGAGCCCACACATGGTGGTAGTAGGTACTTTCTTTCTATTATTAATAACTTTTCAAAAAAAAGTTTGGGTATTTTTTATGAAGAACAAATCTGATGTTTTCAAATTATTAAAAGAATGAAACGTTTTGATTGAAAATCAAACTTGACAGAAAATTAAATTTTTAAGGACTGATAATTGCCTTGAATTTTGTAATCAATGGTTAGATTTTTTGTGTGTAACATGATATTGTTAGGCACAAAACAATCCCTTATACACCCCCAACAAAATAGAGTGGCTGAGAGGATGAATAGAACTCTTTTAGAAAGAGGTAGAAGTATGTTGGCTTCCTCGGATTTGCCTAAAATGTTTTGGGGAGGGACTGTTATAACACTACAAGAAACTATCATTTTTGTAACGAGATTTTTTCGTCATTAAATTCACTTTTTCCGTTACTAATGATATTAGAGACAAAATTAATGATAGAATTACGTTAGCTACGTGATCTTTAGTGACGGAATTCTGTTACAAATATTATATTTTTTTTTGTAGTATAACAGTAGCCTATTTAGTGAATAGGTTCCCATCGGTTTCCTTGAATGGAAATTGTTCTGAATCCATGTGGGTAGGAAAGTCTATTGATTTGTCAAATTTAAGGGTGTTTGGTTGTGCTGCGTATGCTCATATTCTAATTGATAAATTAGATCTATGGCAGAAAAATGTATTTTCTTGGTTATCCCGAAGATGTTAAAGGCTATAGGTTATGGATTAAAAATAGTCTTGGTTTCAAATAAATGTTAGTCGTGACGTTAAAATTAATGAGCTTAAAATACCTTATTTGATGAATGTGTTACTTGTTTCAACTTCTGAAATTGATAGTATTCAAAATAAGGTGGATTTTGATGGTTTTTCATTGAAAAATGATAAAAAAAAAAAAAAAAAGAGGCAATTATGAAAATTTGAAACGAATTTAAATAAATCTGAAACAGTTTTTCAATCTGAAAATGTGAGTTCATGTTATGATTTTGTTGTTTTTGGTAACCAATCTACTATTTTTCAACAATAAAATGTGTGTGATCCTTTAAGTGATAATTTGAGTCAAAGTATTTCGAATAGACCCAAAAGAACTATTAAACATTCTGTTAGATTCAATGATTTTGATTTCACTTCATATGCTTTTAGTGTGTTTGATATACTTAATGGTAATGAACCAAAATCATATGAAGAAGCTATCAATTCAAAATATAAAACGAGTTGATTAAAACAATGAATGATGAAATAAACTTCTTACATGATAATAGCACTTGGAGTTTAGTTAACAAACCTGAAAATTGTTCATTGGTGAATTGTAAATAGATTTTCAAAGTGAAAAAAGAGGAAAATAATATTATATTTAAATCTAGACTAGTAGCTAAGGGTTTCACCCAAAAAAACATATTGATTATAATGAAATTTTTTCTCCGGTTATAGTTTTTTAAAGTTCGTGCCATGCTTGTTTTGGTTGCTCAGTTTAATTGAAATCTAAAACGGTTAGATGTTAAAATTATTTTTTTACAAGGCAATTTAGATGAAAAGATTTATATGAAAAAGCTCAATGATTTTATTGACAAAAACAAACCCGATTTTGGGTGTTTGTTGAAGAAATCTCTTTATGGCCTAAAATAATTACTTAGACTATGGAATTTAAAGTTTGATAACTGTATGAAATCTTTATATTTTAATAGAAGTCAATTTGATTATTATTTGTACTTTAAATTAGTAAATGATAAGTTGTTTTCTTGTTGATTTATGTTGATGATATGCTCTTAACAGTTCTGATGTGACTGTTATAAATAAAATTAATAAATGTATGAGTAATCAATTTAATATGAAATTTTTAGGTAATGCAAAAGTAATTTTAGGTATGCATATAGAGAGAAATAGAGAAAAATCTGTTTTGTTTTTAAATCAGTCATCTTATGTAAAAAAGGTGATTAAACGGTTTAATATGATTGATTCCAAATCTATTAGTTTGGCATTAGCTTCACATTTTTTTTTAAGCAAAAGTCAGTCACCTAAAACACAAGCTGATTTAGAATATATGAAAAATGTACCCTATTCTAATGCAATAGGTTCTATTATGTACCTTATGGTTAGTACTAGGCCTGATATTGCTTATGTTGTGAGCCGTTTAAGTCGATTTATATCAAATCCCGGTGTGGGGGACATTGGTGTGCTTTAAAGTGACTATTGAAATATTTGTGTGGCACAATGAATTTGGGTTTAAAATACTATAAATCTGATTGTGGTGTGATTTTGAAAGGTTATATTGATTCAAATTATGCGAATGATAAATATAGTAGAAAATCGACTATTTCTTATGTGTTTACTTTATGTGGATATGTTATTAGTTGTAAATCGAAATTACAACACATTGTTGCATTATCTACGACTGAATCTGAATATATTGCTATTATTGAAGCCTTGAAAGATGCGTTGTAGTTAAAGGGGCTGCTATATGAAATTGGTGTGTTATCGGGTGATACTGTAGTGTATTCGGATAGTCAATCGGGAATTCAACTTTGCAAGAATCCTATTTTTCACGATCGAACAAAATATATAGATGTTAGGTTTCATTTTATTCATGATATAGTTGGTAAAGATCTTGTAATGTTGGAGAAGATTCCTTCGGAATTCAATCCGGTTGATATGGGTACCAAATCGCTGCCTGTTTCTAAATTTGAGTCATGTTTAAATATTTTGAATTTTGATACTTTTGATTAATTTTTTAAATGTGTACTTACAGTATGGTTGAGTAATAGGTGTGGCTGTGATGATCTTTATCCATGTGAATTTCGACCAAAAAGGTGGAGAAATGCTGAATTTTGTCCAAGATCCGACCTGTCTGGCAATGACCCGACCCGTGGCCCAATTTTCCCTAATCAGATCCCAACCGTCCATCCTACGGTTTTAATCCTACCCGTCCGTTGTATTGATAAATATATTGTTGCCCCTCTCATTTGCAGCGCATCTACAAATATTCTTTCTCTCTCAAAAAGGGTTTTCTGTCGCAATCGTTCTTCCTCTTCTTCTAGTGTATCTCCAACGTGTGTTTTTCGGCGATATTCACTACGATTTAATTAGGCCTTTGTTCTGTGAGACATTGGGGAGTATTTGGCGAGGTTTATACGGTCCGATTCATCCAAACCGTGTTGTTCAATTTTGAGGGTTTGGGTTTCTTCTTTTTGGGTAGGAGATAGGCTCATCGGGTGTCTGTTGGCCGTCGCCGGAGCAGCTCTTTCTTGCTATCAGTTTCTTTGTTCGATAAACTCAACCGATTTTAAATCTGAGCCACATTAGTGTGTTCTTTGTGTTACGTTTTGTTTGTGTTCTTTAATAAAGATTCTTTCAAACTTGTTTTCGATTTAGTATTTTTTATCCTAAAACTAACATGATCCATTCACCCGATCCAATCCATCATTGTGCGCGACCCATTTCTGAATGACCTGACCCAGCGATCAGCGTATTAATTCCAAGACGTACTCTAAGACATTCATCCTAGGTCATTGATCTCAGTAGTCGGCTATCCATTCATCTTTTCCTCTGGTTTTTCCGCAAAAATCTTCTCTCTATTTTCTTTCACATGTTTACTCTCTAGTTCTATGTGTTATTGTGTATGATAGTAGGGGGTGTTACGTTTGTGAACTTTCTACGGTTTGATATAGATTGGATTTCCTCATAGGGTTGCCGATGGTGTATGTGAATTTGTTTAGTTTGCACTGTGAATTATTATTATTATTATTTTTTTTTTTTCAATCTGCAAAGTTTTTAATAAAGATATAATTTATTTTATTACAAAATAATAAATTAAAATATTACTTAAATTATAGTTAGGTAAGCATTCTAGTATTATATCACAAAAGTGACAACTACCTTAGGAAACTATTTTGAGATATGATAATTACGTTTGAAATAATGTTAAATTAGTTACTTCGAAAGTTCGGAGTCCATTCCATGACCAGTATTTAAGACTCAAAAATCTGAAATTTTAATATATTTAATATAGTCTTGGAAATTCAGTCTTCTTTTATAATTTGCTTCGGAAAATCCGAAACTTTTAATATAGTTTAAAAAGTTCTGAATCCAGTTGAATGGCAACGAGCTTTTCTCTTCCGACAACTTTTTCCGTAACTTTATAAATTTTGTTTGGGAATCAGTTCAATAGAGCTAATTTTCGGAAGCAAAGTAGTGGTAGTGTGTAAATATAGATAGTTGTAAAATAAAATTAGTAAAATCAATCTTCAAATCTGAGATCTTTCTCATTAATTAATAAGTTAATTATTAAGCAATCTGTATATTGGGAAAACCACCTTTGTCTTGCATGCATGTGCCACGAGTAATAAATAAATAAAACCCTAAATGGTGGCTGAACTGGCGTTGTATTGTATGGTGGCCGATCGATGACTTTTCAAATACGTAGTTTATTTATTTTTTTCATTTTCGATTTATGAAAATATATACTATAATTTTTAATTAAATATATATATATATATATATCTTCCAATCAATCACAATCTCAACAGATAAACAAATGGAACATGAGTATGGAATTGATAATAACCTAGCTTAGCCTGCTTAGCTAATATTAATTTCACAATCAAGTATATACTTTGAATGCAAACCTCTCCTCCACAAGAATTCCATCCATCAAAATGCTGGCGGAACTTAACACCATCAGAACTAACCAATCAGTCGATGGCCGAGTATCCATCCACCGCCACCGCGGTCTCACTGCTGCTGCTGCCAACGGCTCCGACGTCTATTACGGTGCGAGTCCTGTGGGGGTTCCGTTCCTGTGGGAATCCCAGCCAGGGACTCCTAAATTCAAATTTACAAAATCCACCTGCTGCAGGGAATTTTACATTCCTCCCCTGACGCCGCCGCCGTCCTTTCAATCCAGCCCTGCTGCACGATTCATGTCTCGCCGGAAACCCTCCAAGAGGAGCGGCGGCGGCGGCGGCCTGATTATGCTTCCCAGGCGGATCAGCAAAAAGGGTCAATTTCAGCGTTCTCCTTCGAAGGAGGAGGAGGAGGAGGAGGAGGAGAGTGATGATGATTATGAGTCGCCGGTTTCAAGTTTGTGCTTTGGCGGCGGCGGCGGCGGCGGCGGCACCCGGCGGCGGGGATGCAGCTCCTACACCAATATTGTGAAGAATATGTTGGTGGGGGGAGATTTCCGATAATTCATGAATTCATGGTTATTGTTAATTAATTACTACTTGTCTGTCACTGCACATTGCAATTTTATGTTTCTTAGCTCCAAAATGTCAATTGCTACCTGTTAATCATCTGTCTTTCTTTCTGAAATACAACCATTGTAATTGATTTCATGTTTTAATTTTGTTAAACTTAACTTGATTAAGCAAATTTCATAACATTAATTACTTCCTTCCACCATTGAAATGGCAGCAGCATATATATATATATATATATATATAGAATTCCATTCAGATCGACCATATATATACTTATTCCGACTTACATTGATTAATTAGTTAACTTCATTCATTGGTTTAATTAGCTAGCCCTAATTATATTCAGAATTAGGGCTGCAGGTGGGATCGATCAGTTGGTCTTCCTGCAGTTGGTCCTGATCTGGCCGTCGTGGGTTCCAGTGAGGTTAGCCATCTTGGACATGGCGCTTGCGAAGTCCGCAAAGAAGGACGACGGGTCTTTGGTGTAAGCAGCGACCACAGTGTCGGTTGGCCCCCCGCCGGCGAAGAGCTGCTGGTCGGAATGCATGAGGCCCTTGTTGCCGACGAGATTCTTGAAGTAGGTGTTGTCGAAAGAGGCTGGCGAGACAGCGTCAATCGGCGAGAGGTTGTCGTCGTCGGCGTCGACGGAACTCCGGCAATTGGTCTTCAGGGAAGTGGCGAAGGACCCGAAAATGTCGGTGTCGTTGTAGATCCGATTGCGGAACACTCTGCACCTCGCCTGCCCTATTGTGTGCGCACCTGCCCCAAAATTCATCGCACTTCAATAATTACTTTTTAGTAAACCACATTTTTTTTTTTGAATTGACAAATTTAGGATGTGTTCTATAGGAGTTTCGTTTTAGTTTTTATTATTATTTTTTTAATAATAATAGTTTATATACTATAGTATTTTATGACCAACAATTAGGAGTGTCTAGTAAAAAAATTTAAAATTGATTTCAAAATAACACATTCTTGATTTCCATCAATTAAATCGATTTAATTTTGTGTGTTTATTCTGTATTTTTAGATAGATGTATATATATATATATATATATATTTTTGCTAATATTTCTAACAAGATAAATTGTATTGATATTTTTGTTTTTTAGACTTTATAAATAAATGGATAAACCGCTTTTTTAATCCAGTAACTGACAATTTATATTTTATTCAACTAGTTCAGTAAGTGAAAATTTTTCTCAATTTAGTCTTTATGTCTACATGGCATCTGCGTGGCAGATTGGCGGACAGGTGTGGGCCAGATCAGCACGTGTCTGCCATCTAGATTATTTTTATTTTTTTAATTTTATCTTTTAATAAAATTAAATATATAAAATATATAAAAAAATAAAATATAAAAATATAAGAAAATAAAATATAAAAATATAAATAAAAATAATATAAAAATTATCCACATGTCCGTCGGGCCACGTGACCGCTAAGTGGATAATTTATATTTTTTATATTAAAAATAAAAATAAAATATAAAAAATATAATTAAAAAATATATTAATATATAAATTATTAAAAGTCACATAGTGTTGACTTGATATGCATATGGATAATTTTTTTTTTATTATTTATTTTTATAATTGTATTTTTTTATATTTAAAAAATAAAAATAACAATAATCCACGTGGCGGACACATGTTCGCCACGTGGCGCTGATTTGGCGGACACGTATCCGCCAGCCTGCTATGCAGATGCCACATAAGTATTGAGGACTAAATTGAAAAAAAAATTCACTTACGGGACTAGTTTAAGACAACCTCTAGTTACGGGACTAAAATGATAAAGAGGTTCAGTTACGGGACTAAAAAAACAGTTTAGCCTATTAAATTAATTAATACGTAATAATATTTGTAATTGACGTAAAAAATTTTAAGTATTAATGTATAATTATTTTTACTATAGTTAGATATTAATACTTTTAAATAGAACAAACGAAAATAATAAAAATAATATTTTGAGTTTGACGGAGGAAACAATATTTTATATTGAATTATTGAATTTTTATAAATTGAAATAATATATATTATGTATATTGTATATAATTATAAGTATATATTATACTCCTCGGTCCATTTTAAAAATATAAATTTACTTTTGGCGTGTAGAGTTCAAAAAGTAATACTCCTTTCTCCCTCCGCCAAATGTATTCTCACTTTTTTTTCATCGGTCGGTTAAATTTATCTCATTACTATATTTGGGAATGTAAAAAAGTCAATAATTAATTATTACCCTTCATTTAACAGTTATTTACAACAAATACCTATAATTTTATTACTTTCCCTCTCTTCATTTTTTTTCAATTACTAACTAAATTTTCAAAAATACTTCAAACTACCTTTTTACTTTTTCTACTTTTTCAATAAAATATTTATTTTTCTTAATTACTGTGCTGAGCCCAAATGCGCTAAATATTGCAGACAGAGGGAATAATATTTTAATTATAATTAGTAATTAAAAGTAGTGTAAAAATAATTTTATCTTTGTTTTTTGGTGTAAATACAATGTTCAAACGGTAAAATAAAGATATTTGTAGAAAAAAGTGAGATCCATAATTACTAAAAAAAATATGAAATAATTATTTTATAGTTGAATAATTTAAAATAGAAATATGTATAATTTGTGAGTGAATAAAAAATTGTACTTTTAATAACATGTATTGTGAATTGTAAAATATAATTGGCATAAAACACGCCCGTGTTCTAAGATCTATTTTTAGAACTTGTCTGTCAATAAACGCGGCCGTGTTCTTTTATTCACACACCCGTGTGTATACCCAAGAAAAAATGAGTGAGCAAGAGAAAAAGCTTTCTGAAACACAAGCTTTTCAGAGACTTTTTTTTTTTTTTTTTTTTGGATGTGGTCTTTTAGAAAAATAAATAAATAATAAATGGGGATTGCACTCATTGGACAGAACATGACGAGGAATGATTTGACGATCTGTTTAATTGGAGGTTTGAATTTTGAATATAAAAAAGAAAATAAATTAAAATAGTACACCGTCATTCGATTTCGATTGTGGGCTTATTTGATCGGACACGAATTTTAAAAAAAATAAATAAAAATTAAAAGTTTTATATTTTTTGGTAAATAAAAAATAAAAAATGATATTTTTAACTAAAAAATAAAACAAGAATAAATATAAATGACAAACAAAAAAGAAAAATAATAATAAATTTAAATGACAGATAGAGTACTTGTATAATATCATATAAATATAAATATAATATAATATTTTAAATATAAAATTAAATTTTAATATAATATAAAAAATAAATATTTTATTCAATATTTTTTAAGAAAAAAAAAATTAATGAATAATAACACACTAAATATTTACTAATTTTTGTACAATTAATATTTTAGTATTTTTTAAATTTATTTTTTTCAAAAAACTAATTATTATACCTATACTACTATCTCTACATACTTATGTATTTAATAAGCTAGCTACCTACTTGCATCTATCTATCTCTCTCTCTCTCTATATATATATATATATATATATATCTGACATATACATATGTTATGGGCATAACAGAGCACGGCCTCGCAGTGTCATAGTAGGTCTGGATCTCAGAACACGGCCGTATTTACAAATTCAAACGCCTGTGTTTAATTTTGCTACGATGAAAACAACTTTAAAGTCTAACACGGTCGTTATTTGTGTAACACGGCCGTGTTCGATCTGATTCAGTCGCTACTTCAGCTTTCATAACAGTCACGTCAGCACAATCCGTTGAAATTTAAACGATGTGACCAAAATTGATAATTTTTATTTTGTATGAGACCATTTTTGATAACATTTTTTGAGTTGGATCAAAAATAGAAAAATTGAATTTCAATTTGACTAATAATAATTTTGGTTCAAAATTATATGTAGCATATGTTAAAACACTTGATCATATATTTTTACCTATATATATTTTTTATATAAATTTTCTTCCTAAAAAATAATATCTAACATTTAAATTTCTATTAAAATGTTATACTTCACTACCAAACAATTATTTATTTGCAAAAAATTAAAAAAATAAAACCACAAGCAAACTAGGTGATAGGTACCGGAAAGTGCAACCATTTCTTTAGGTGAAAATCCTTTCTTAGAAAAGGCGGAAATAAGATCCCCGACGTCCATCACCGGTGATGGAATATCTCTGTTTGCCGCATCGATGCTCGCCGTGGTCGAGTCCCTCCTTCCCAGCTGCACCATCCACGACGGTCCACCCAGCTGTACATATAACAACATATATATATATATATATACATATATGATTACATGTACATTTTAATTAATACTCCCTCTGTCATTCAAATTTGTGGTCAATTCCTTTGTAAAATACAAAGGAAATAAGCACAGATTTTGACGATAATAGGAAATATACAATTAATCCATAATTAATAATTAATTAAATGGTGAATTGAATTGAAGAAATATATAAAAGAATTAATTAATTAATTAATAATTAAGCGCGTGCATACGGCTACGACGGAGTCGCGGGCAGCCATGGCCAATATGTCGGCACAAGAAACCACCCCCGGGCATAACCTTTCAACCTCGGATTTGATCGAATCGATCACTTCAAAACCCCTCAGTGAGTTAGCATTTGGTCCAGCCGTCTTTTCTCCTGTAAAGCTCTCCGTATCGTCCAACAATACCGAACCATCACAACCCTATATATCGACATGATCTCAATTAATATAATGATTTTGATGTAAATTGATAAATATATTTTTAATCTAACAATTATCATATGGTTTCAATTTAAGAATCTCTTCATTTTATGTACTATTGACAATCACAAAAAATATATACTTGTGTTGTTTTGTAGATTTTTCAAAGATTTTATATATTTATTTACTCTTTAAAAATATCAAATCAAATATTTTTTATTTTATTTTATACGAAAATCAAAATCCGATAAACTCCCGACTGAACCTAATAGTCCGACATGATAAATCACATTAAATGAACTATAAATGACAAATAAGACTTGGTGTCGGGGCTTGAATATGACCTAGTAGTCACGAATCCATCTTCACACCACTATGTGGTCCCGATATTATTATTATTGACATACAACACTATAGCTAGACCTATTTAGTTAAAGTTTGATTCTGATTTCTTTACTATGCATCCACTATTGTCTTTTAATTAAGAATATATTATTTGATTTTATTTATAAATTTAATATTATGTCCAAATCACTATTTCAATAAAAATTCAAAATCAAAACTTGTTTGTTTAGATAGGATTTTTTAGAGGTTTTTGAAATTTTGAAAGTTTGGAAAAAGTAAAAAATTAGTATTTGATTCGATATTTTGCGAAAGAAAAAAGTGTATTTGATGTTATATTTTTTCAAAAATAAATAGTGTCAAATGAATGAAAGTGTGCTATATAAACAAAGCCTAAAACTCAGTTTTTCAAACGGTAGATTTATACAAAAAAAAAAAGAAAGGAGGGGAGAAGGGCGGTACGTACATTGACGAAGCAATCATGGAAATGAAGGCGAAGCAAGGATGCACCCATGCGGCGTTCGCTAAGAACAGCTTTAAAAACGGCAGCTTTGACGGTGAAGATGGCACGGGGGCACGACGTCGAGTAGTGCGTCAGTGACAATTGTTCGTTTGCTGCCGCGGCCGTAAGGAAGGCTATATACATACACAATTTTATTGACATGGAAACTGCTGATGAGGGCGTAATATCGAAAAAAAATTTCAAGATATTATAATAACCCATGTATATATAATTAATTATATGCTTCTAATTATTTAATGATAGCTAGCTAGCTTGCTTGTAATATTAGAAGATAGTTATATTTCATGCAAATTGTTGAGTAGATTGGACATGGAAATGGAGATGAAGATGGAGATAGAGTTTGGAGTTGATGCACCACCACTCCACTTTGAAGACATATTTATAGAAATATCACACCAAAAGGTTCCATTATTTTTTATTATACAATTTTATCCTTTGTTTGTTTCTTGCTTTTGAATGTTTGTTATACTATTTTAGATTGATTTGAAAATCTTTTAAATGTAAGTAAAATTTAATTAAAAATTTGCTAAATGTAATTCTCTCTATCCGTTATAATTATAATTATGTAAGATTATCTTTTATAATTATACATTAAACTTATGCATCATTTATTTATATTAATTTTTTTTTCATCCATAATTTTATTACCTCTACTTTCACAAATAATAATTAATTTGTCACTTTTTTTTCTATTTCTCACTCACAATTTTTTTCTATTATTTTTTTCTTTAATAAATTTTCTATATTATCTTTATTTTATTTTTTACCTATCCCCTTTTATATTATTGTATTATTATTTTTAATTTACATGCCCAAATAAAATATCATAATTATCTCGAATGGAAATGAGTATCTTTTTAAAAAAACATAGATAGTGTGGATGAAAAAAGAAAAAAAAAAAAGAAGAATATAAACAAGAGGATACGTCTTATTGTAGATTCTTATCTCAATTTAATTTCATTATCAATAATTTTTTATATAAAAAATAAGAAATTTTACTTTTTATTTTTTATATTACATTTACAAATTAATTTTACATATATAACTCTATTTATATCACATCAAATTAACAACTATTCAAATTCATATATAATTATTTTCAAATCCGGCTTCAAAACCTAAAATGTGTGTGACAGATTATATATAATTGTTATAGATAATATATATACATAATTAGAACTTGTGTTTTAAATTTGAGTTTTTGTTTTTTCTTTTAAAGAAAAAGAAAAAATCAATGTCTGGAAAATTTTAATTCGTAAAGGAAATTTAAGATATAATAGAAAATAGATTTAAAATTTCTTATGCTTTGAAGAAAAATCTTAAACATTAGGGTTGCGTTCTCTTGTGAATTTCTAACTATTATTTATTTATTTATTATTATTATTATTATTAAAATATCAAATTAAAAAATTATTTTTTATTTTTAATATTACTGTTGAAAAATAATTTTACATTTAAAATATCACATTAACATCTATCTATATCACAATGAACAACTTTGCAAATTCAAATTTTTGCTATTAAAACGATCCAGATTCAACATTCAAATTCACAAACAAACACAACTATATGTTTTAAAAGAAAAATTATTTTATTACAATATGTAAAAATAAAATTTTCACTTAATATAGAAAGAGACAAACAAAACCTGAATAAACTCACTTAATTAGGTTAGGTGAAACTACGTTTTGTTAAATAGAAAGTGGATTGAGAGAAATAATATATCTAAATATATATATATATATAATAATAATTTATAAAATGGTGGGCAATCTAATTAATTCAACGCACTATATATGTATGATACAAGAATCTCATCACGCATGTTGACTTCGTTCGAATATGGTTAATACGTATACTTCATCAATATATATATATATATATATATATCTAGAGAAGTATGTCCAGTATTGTCAGGACTCTATATGTACTACTCCCTCCATCCCACAATTATAAATTGAGTTTGAGTTGCGTTGGACACAGAATTTTAACAATATTGATATTATATTGATAATCGGTAAAAAATATGGGTAAAAGATTTTTTTACCCTTGTGAGTGTATTAGTATAAAAAGTAGTGGCATTTGTGTAATAATAATAAAAAAGTAAGGGTAATTTTATAGTGATATGGTTATTTATGGAAATGAGACTATTATTTTGGGACGGGAGGAGTATTTGAAATATAACCGTCTCACTTAAAAACTTGAGTTCGAAAACTTGAGTTCGAAACTTGCACATGCATATGCCACAAATGAGGATGGTGGGATTCGAACTCGAGCCCTAGTTTAGGCTCTGATGCCATATTAAGAAGGTATTTGACTTCCAACCTAAAACCAATTGGTGATAGGTGGACTGGTCCTTCACCCTTGTAAGTCAAGGGAATTCATACATCATATCCAATGTGAGACAATATTCAATAGATTTAAAAGATATTGTCTAAGAAATTAGAATTGGTGCTCCAAAGAAGTATGTCTAGTACTGTCTAGACTCTTGATAATTGCTATTTGAACTATCGAAAAATAATTTTTAAAGATTTAAACGATATTGGGCATTTTTCATTATAAAAAGTTATCTATAACGATTTTATACCGAATTTTGACCAGTGCATATACTCAAGTTACAAAAAGTCTCGGTACCGACATTTTCCGTAACAAAAGTAGGTGGTCAATGCATGTGAAATTCTTGTTGCAACGGTTTTTGTAACACTAGAAATGTATTTTTGATTTATTTGTAGCGGACGTTTCACGTAATAAAAGAATCTTTACAATAAATGTTCATGCATTTGTAACGGCTTTTGTTACGGTATAATTTTTGCTACATTAAGTTGGTTGTCAGAAAACTATTTTAAACGATATTCGTGTTTTTTGTACCGGTATTTGTAATGATTACAATTTTGTAACAAAAAGAGTATCCTTATTTTTTCAGTAATAACAAAAAGAATTAGTATTGGAACCGAAAAATTTGTATGATGCGAGAAAACACTGCAAAATAGCATTACAAAATATAAAAATATTACAAAAAATTTGTATCACCATTAGTTGCACCAAGTACGCATTGTCTGGAAGCATAACTATTTCGCAATACGACCGAACATATACAATCCAAGGGCAAAGCATAGCAACAAACGTACAAAAGGAAACAAATATACATGTTCAACCAACGAGAAAGACTCAGTCAATATCAATTCACAAATAAAAGTTAATTATCATAAAATTATGTGTAGTGTTGCATCGCCCCATACAGCGTCAAAGTGAACATACATGGCAGTTACGGGTGATGAATGAGCTACCAACATAGTGCAAAATTATATAAGAATTTACTTGAGAGATGGTTAACTTATAATCTAATAGAAAGTCTTATAAAAATGGTTACATACATCCTTGAATGTCCAGTCGATTGGCTCGATATGGACAACCTCACAGAGTGTTTGCGCTTCAGATGTCGTTCGTAGAATAAACGTGGCCTCCGGAAAGATAGCAGCTGTGACAGAAACCTTCACTATGTTAATGGTATCACCTATGTACATATAAAAAAAACATGTGCATATCATCATAAACAAAATGCAACTTATAAAAATATTTGATCAATATAAAATATTAAAGATATTAACTCAAACATTACAACATATGTAAGGGAAAATATTGGAGATTATTTTCCGAATTCAACTATCTATACAACAGTGTAATCAAAATTGTAACATATAGAACAACATAAATATAATTATAGCATAAACCCTATTTTGATAACACCCGGACCAATATCCGTACAATATCACAATTATATAACAATCAATAGCATTCTTATACTACATTAATACACGATACAAACTTAGGACAATGCAAACCAAACAAAAAGCAACGGAAATAAATAACTAATATTTGCAGAGACTCAAATGAGGGAATGCAAATCTGTATTAGTACTACTACTAAACTGACCAAATAGAATTCTTATACTACTTTAATACACGGCAGTAAATCTCAATTCAAACCAAGGCTTATAGGACTAATGAATGCAAGAGCAGTTAATGAAGAATCATGTTGCTTTAACTAATGAAGATATCTAATAACACTAACACTAGATTTATCAAAACTAAAGCTGACTGAATTAGATCTAAATCGAGTCCGGTTTCAGCAGCTAACCTAATATAATGGATCCAACAACACCAGAGACTAATTTTAACAACTAAATATACATTATTATACAAATATGCAATGAACACAACATCACAAATACATTCTATTCTACAAGCCATAAGCTACTACTAATTACATATTCAAACACGATTGAATCTAAAAAGCTAAGACAACTACACTTAAGCACTTCCAATCAAATAATTATATGAGCAACATATTGAATTAATTTCATACTAATTTTTTTTTCTATATAGCAATGGCTGTGTCCAAAGTGGGCTGCCTACATACCCGAGCGGGATCAAGCCATACATAGTTCTACTAAGGCTACATAGTCCAAAAAAGTATACGGATAAGCCTAAGTACTAAGTGTCACTGTCAATCCAACTAAGTACTAAGTCAAGGCACTAACAACAATCAATACTAGCCTATCACAAGAAAAACCCTGCTTCCATTAAGTACAAGACATCGAGGATAAGCCTACTACCTGAAACAAAAAGTCGGGAGACCATCTGGGTCAGCTTGAAGGAGGCCTCTGATCATCGAAGGAATGTCTATCGGGAGAAGTATCCGCTCAGTCGGAAGGGAAACCGCTAAGTTCCCCAAGGCATCTGCGGCGCGGTTCCTTCCCTATATATATGAGATATCCGCCAAGTCGCATCCCGAAGCCGCAGTCAAATACTCATAAGGCATCGTTGTAGCATCCAGTGCTCACCTCAAATGAGATCAGAGATATACATGTTTTTGAATCCGTCTTGACCCACAAAGACATCAATCCTCGATCGATCGATGTCCCTATTCTTGTCTGGATCATCGTAAGCTCTGCCAAAGTGTTCGTCGCATGTGGAATCGGATTTTGAAATGAGACAAGTACTGCTCTTGCCAAATCCCAAATAATGTCAGCCGCTCTTGCTGCTCCGAGATTTTCAAGCGAATCACCATCTGTATTAAGCTTGAACCATCCCGGAGACGGTACCTCCCAACACACCATAATT